CGTAATTCATTTTGAAAGATATTGAATGTAAAAAGGAATTCCAGAACCTTTGTAGTCTTGTAATGATGAACTGAGGAGCACTGTCATAGCCGTGGTACTCTGCACGGGTTGTGGTACTCAGCATCAGGACCGTGGTACTCTGCAGGCGTTGGAAAGAGTAAAATGTGCATATAGAATGGAGGGGGAAGCGCTATTTCATTCCTTTTGAAATATATATAAAGTCGAATATAATTTAATGCTGAGTCACTGTTCCTAAACTGCTTCGGGAAACAAGACCACGTAGTTTCCATCTTGCAAGTTTTTTCCAATTATGTTAGACAAGAGAACTTTATTTTTTTAACTATATTCAAGAAAATACATCAGTTCCGATAGAGTTGCCGTGTGATATCGACTCAAATATAACCCACGTCCTTGTACTGTATACCTGAAGAAGGCCAATTAATGTCAACAGTTAGGAAGAACAATTAACCTTGAGGAAGTGAGTTAGGTTAAAGTTTACTGTTCACTTATAAGAAATGGGATGTTTACGTTATGTTTTATTATACCCAAACGTAAATTAGTTTATGTATCAATAATTAACAATTGAAATTAAAAGATAAACGAGAACTAAGAATGTAGTCAAGGATACGTGGTAGGATTTACTGCACACTACCAGGAAACGTGGAAATAGGCTCACCTGGGGGCCTCGACGGGAACTGATATGGCGCCGTTAAGCAAATACAAAGCCTAGCGTAATTATCGATAATAACAGGTTATCCTCTGCTTACTCACAACCTCATTGTCTATTACTGCCACACTAACCTGACGTGGGTCCATGCGTAGTTGTGTGTGTGTGTGTGTGTGTGTGTGTGTGTGTGTGTGTGTGTGTGTGTGTTGAAATTTGTAACGCCATATCAAATATTTGCCGTGAGGTTATTCATTAGTTAAGGTCATTGGTCAGTTTAAGTCATCAACAATACCATAATCTCCTTTGTATCATCATGATGATTATATATATGATAGGTCACACATAATAATTTACGCCTAATATCCTTCTAAGCAGACTCAATAGCCACCTTATGACCCCAAGTATTTGACCAAGTGATCTGGTGAGTTACACGTGCCTTTGTCGTTCTAGGGCTAGTTTTAACATCTGACTCTCATACCCTGATTAACCTTGACCTTCAAATATTTGCCCTTTAGGCCCAAAAACTTTCAATTAACACAAGATACAGTCGTGGACAAAAAGTCACTCACTGTGATGGAACTGAGTCAGGGTAATAAGTCTTTAGTTACTTACCCTGACTGCCATATGGTGCGGGTATATTGTTTTATTTCATTTGGGTTCGATCAATACTGTTTCAGTTTGGGAGGGAGCGAACTTTTTACTTTTGTACCAATTTTCAAGTTTTTTTTCCACAGTTACGGCAAATATGCGAGTCTTCCCTCGACTATAGATACAAATCAGTATAGAGCTCCGTGGTTGTCCTCTACTGAATATTTACCAACATTTTCATTGAATTTCGATCGTTTTGATAAAGTACTCATACATCCTAAGCTCATGAAAGCGAGATTAGTATTAGTACAGTAAATAAATCATAAGAAAATGTGTGGGATGCCAGAAACGAGAGAAAACGGAAATATAGCGTAAATCAGTAGATGGCTAACTAAACAAGATCGCTTTGGCCACTATAATACGAGTACTCTGATTTTTACACATTCTATCACTTACAGTAGTCTTGAGATTATGTTAGAGTACAGTACAAGTATCAATAACATTAATAGTTAATATACCATTGAAATCCTCATGGCAAAAAGTAGATCGATTTAAGGAAGGATAGCCCAGTAATGTTAGAGACTTGCCTTAGATATATTCTGGTAATATATTTGATTTTGTAACTCGATAAGTGACCCTTTATCAGTAAAAGATACCATGTACAGTACTCAGCTTCATATAAGTTTGTTTTTATAGGAGGAATAAAGGCAACTCATTTACCTGCTATCAACTATTTTATTATACTCATATCAACAAAAATAATTATAAAAAGTACAAAATAAAAAGGTGGAAGTAAGGGCGAGGCGCTACAACACCAGCTAAGGCGACCTACCAGCGAAGTCACTAGGTTCCTGAGAGAGGTAAAGCTCCTACTGCAGCTCACTTATTGACCACGACACACCGCGGCGATCTGTATTGAGGCATTAGTTGTGATCTTTGTTCGTGTGGAAGGCTAAATGAATCTCCGTTGTGACTTGATAAGAAAAGGTGGAGATAACAACAGATAATAACACAAATTCATTACGTGCTGGGAGATGAGATATTGTGCAGTATATTACAGCACAAACTGACCTAACGTTATTTTACAGTTTAGAGAAAGAGTGATTATTACCTGGTGAATAGATAAGAATAAAATATGGTATTCAAATTCGTAGTTTACATTAGTATCATCAGAGAGTGATGATTGGTTTCTCGGCTACAATCATTAGGGCAGTACTGCTCACTGAGTGTACACTGACCTTTCTTCATGTTTTGAACTATTTCCCAAAACTTGGTAGCTATTGGATTCATCTCTAGTGTAAAGTGCAGGTCACCTTTCAACAATTTTATTTTATTTTATTTTTTACATTGAACGATTTTTAAAGGTAATTACTTTTGAATTGGTTTGTTACATCCGCAGTGAGTTTAGCGTTCATCCTGACCCTTCTTATATAAGGCACCCGAGTGTGTGGCTTATTAACGAAATGTGTGCTGTATGTTTCCTTGTTGCCCGGTGTAATGTTTTGACTTCCCAGGTTGTATTCGTTACCTGTCGTTCATCTTCACCAGTAATAACTACAGAACCGTGTTATGATGACGCACCTCCACACCTGTGTATAAGGGACCTATTTCCAATTAAAGGCAGCCATTAAAGTGGATTCATGGGAGACACGTATCCTTACACCTTTTTCTCAACATAGAATAACAGCTTCGCGGGGAGCTTGATAACCTTACACACAGGCTCCTCGGGTTGGTGCCACTGGAGAAAAAATCCTTAAATATAATGAAGTCTTCCGAGTGAGAACAAGACTAGCGACAAAGGTAACTTGAGATATGCGGTATAAAATTACTTCAACATTAACTGCGTTTTTTTGTTGCTGTTGTCGCCTGTCTACGTCTAGCCAAGAGCGTCTCATGTGATTTATGTTCCCAAATATACAATTAATATATGATACAGCTAGTTCAGTTCCACGTAGTAAGTCAAAAGAGACTGGACGAGCAAGAACACTGAAGTCAACTTGTTTTTGTTTCCTAATGTGTGCCAAGTTGAGTCTGCTTTCTTTTTGTTAAATATAAAATCGCTCGGAAAAACGTAAACACAAACAGCTGCCAAAAGAAGCGATTTAGGAGAGTTATTAAGAAAATTATTTACAATGTGTTGAAGGGTTACTTTAAAGAGGTTCAAAATGGTCACTAGTATGTTATTGGAACGGTGTGTATGTGTGTGTTGAATATGATGAATTAACACCGTGAATACAATGACCTATCCCTTTTAATACAATGTCATTATACTCAAGGGGTTTAAGTATCAGTTATCTCCGTCAGCTCACTTTAAGTACCTTACACACACACACACACAGGTTAAAAAAAATACATCGTGTTTAATTTTGAACCTAAGTAGCGCCCCCTTAAAAATATGCTAAGATTCACTGTAACTCTATAAATGCAGTGTAGAAAGTAAGCCATAACGGCAAAGTAAACTGTATAAAGTGACTAGGAGGGCGAGAGAGTGAGGTCCATTCGCCAGTACGGACCACGGCAGACTGTCCGCACGGAGGCGAAGAGAAAACTTAAAGGCGGTGGTGTATCAGAAATGTTGGTTGTGATAGACATGTTCTTAGTCATTGTCAATAGTTACTTCTGAAACAGGTAATTTTGACCTTTTTCTTATATTTTTTTTATGCCATTTCACCACCTCGGCCACGATTATCTTAACATCTTTAAAGGGATAATGACAGGCGGTGTTAACAACAGGTGTGACTCATTACTGTTATGCGTTGAAATATACTGTACGGTATATAGTTTAATACACCTTTCAGTATGTGGAGAGAATCGAGGTAAAGCATTAGTCAACGAAAGTAAACGTCACTTGGTTAAATACTAGAATACTATATACTTTATATTACTAAAATATTTATCTTTGTAAACTAAAAAATAGAATTGATAGCCAAATGACAAGTGAATGTCACTGAGTTGTACACGAGACAGAAGGCGATATATCTACAAATGGTCAAACTTTACCTCCTGGGCATTCAGCCAGAGTATTAAAAACTTACTTCCTTTGATAAACTTCTTAATCGTTCTTGAACACGCGTCAATGATGTGATCTTGTTAACAACAGTGTGGTAAAGAGAGGCATGGTTGAGGCTATTTAAGTGACGAAGGTAAGTTTTGATACTGCGGCTGATGGAGTAAACAAACTTATAATTGTTAACACCAACGAAACAGGTGTAAGAGTGTCATGGTAGCAAAGTCTTGTGAGGGGCACAAACTCAGCTTCCAGGCCTTTTGTTAGCCACCATAGATCTGGTGAAGCACATACTAGTAGACAAACTGATTCACCCAGGAGGAGGAGACAGCGGGCACGTGTCCCTCTCTCCTCTTCTTCTTGTCCATGTACAGTACCTTCTTTGTTTATTCATAAGCTTGAAGACTAGATACAGGAAATAAAAAAGAGGTGGGCAGATCTTCACCCCACAAACCATTAAATTACGGGTGTGCCCCTGGACAAGAGTACCTTCATGTAGCTATACACTACGCATTATAGTTAACTGTTTGCTGCAACGCATCTCCAAGTAACACTGATCCATCAAGTACACACAACCACCATCCTCCCTTACTGACGTTTTGGTTATCAGACTCGTAATGCTTCCATCATCTTTAAACCGTTGCAGTGAAAGTACTCACAGCCCCACATCTACCTGTAGCAGGTGTACCTCATTAACCTGTACTCCACCCACGTTATTGTGGCTCATAAAAACAAGAGTTGATTCAGGATGTGAACAATTTACATACAGTATTCCTTTTACAACATCTCTCAAGTTTCCACAGAGAATCGAAGTTAATGTTGACGTAGGACAGCTGATCCAACCTCACCCTCCTTTAACTGGAAGAGAAATGAAGCAAGTTTTAAAAGATTGTATATAAATGCCCTTTACGGGTATTGTGATAAAGATTGACATCCATGTTGACACAATGACGGATCTTGTACCAGTCTAGCCGATCGGGTAGGGATGTCTGGGGAGAAACTGGACAGCTCGTTGGCCATACTCGGTCTTGTGGCCCTTCTTGCCCTTGCCACTCTTCTTGATGCCCAGGTACCACCCCAAGTGGGCATACTTCTTGTTCAGGTAGTTGAAGAAGGCACCTGACAGCGTCTCCACCCACACTGTATTCTCCTTGAGCTCGTTGGGCTGGGGAGTAGACCAGAGCTTAGTGTTTTATTAACTGGTGAATTAAGCAATAGGTAACAACAGGGAGAAGTAATAGAAAAATATATAAATGTTCTATTTGTTTATGGACGAGTTTTTAATTTGGGATTCAGTGTGCTTATCGTCATTAGCTTTTATACCATAGGAATTCTTGCCTCTGTCTGTCTGTCCTTCCTGTCTATGTCTACCTGTTTACCTCCCTGTCCATTTGTATGCCTGACTGCCTTCCTGTCTACCTATCTATCTGCCGACATCCCCGTCCACCCGCTGTTTACCTCTCCGTAGGTTTTGCCCTTGTGGTTCATGGCGAGGAAGAGCCCAGCATCGACCCCTCTCACCTGCACCTCCCCTTTCCCCACGGCGCGGACCTCCAGGATGGCTGCCGGCAAGACACACACACACCGTTATTATCCTTGTAGTGAGAAATACAGAAGAAAATACAATGGTGATACAAAATGAAGAAGGTGGAGAAAGAATAAGAAGACAGTGTAGAAGGGAGGTAAAGGCAAAGAAGAAGAAGAAGAGTGAGATAGAGAAAAAAGCTGAGGCAGAAAAATAATAAGGCAATGAAGAAAATGAAAAAGAAAACGAAATATAGAAGACAAAGACGAAGAACAAAGCAAAGAATTGAAGAAGAAGAAGAAATCAACTAAGTCTGAACATTGGAGAAAAAAAATATTTGATAATTAGGTAAATACAATGAACGCTAAGATAACCATGACTTCACAGGGGAGAGGTTAAACTGACCGTAGATATTGTAGAACTCCCTGGTGCCCTTGACGGACATGTCTGGGTGTATGGAGAGGTTGTAGCCCGTCATGGAGAAGAGCTGCTTCCTGACGCTGAGCTGAGGCTGGCGCAGAAGTCGCTCCCTAAGTGGCGGATCCAGCAGACACTCCCTGTAGGAACGAGGTTCTTTGAGTGACGGCTTATGGGATTTAAGTGTGTGTGTGTGTGTTGACGTGGGTGTACAGGGAGTACTTGGATACCTGTACTGGGGTGTTGGCAGTCTCGTGACCAGGTGGGGCAGCAGTACCGGGTGACAGGTGATGTCGGCCCTGGCACTGAGAGGATGGTCGTACTGAATTAGAGCTATGAGGGTCGTACTGGGGCCTGGGAGAGTCGTACTGGCTGTGACTGACGGCTAGGAGAAACTCGTACTTAAAGGGTTAGGGAGAGTCGTGGTAGGAGTTAGGGAGGGTCGTGGTAGGAGCTGGGGAGGGTCGTAGTAGGAGTTTAGGAGGGTCGTGGTAGGAGTTAGGGAGAGTCATGGTAGGAGTTAGGGAGGGTCGTGGTAGGAGTTAGGGAGGTTGAAAACATGTATCCACGTCATAACTTCCCAGCTGATGAGAGGGAAGAAGGTTGTTGTTGAGTTATGTTTAGGAGGTTGTGTTGGGGTGTTGCGGCGTGTGCTTGTGTGTGTTTGTGTGTGTGTGTGTGTTAGTCAAGGAAGGATTATGGCGCGTGGTAGGTGGTGAGCTTCCGTTATGGCGCCTCGAATAAAAATAACCAAGGTTGAAAACATGTATCCACGTCATAACTTCCCAGCTGATGAGAGGGAAGAAGGTTGTTGTTGTTGTTGTTGTTGTGGCGGAGTTATGTTTAGGAGGTTGTGTTGGGGTGTTGCGGCGTGTGCTTGTGTGTGTTTGTGTGTGTGTGTGTGTTAGTCAAGGAAGGATGAGGAGCACAGGCAGCAGGCAGACGAAGAGGTACACACACACGCACACACACACACACACACACACACACACACACACACACACACGGCTCAAAAGCTCTCATCTCGTGCCAATCATATGTTTATTACCATACCAGGTCTCATAGAGTTAAATAAATGACGCCATGAAAATAAACCTACCTGTAGTGGCTTTAAACTGAATACCTGGCGCCTAAGCCTTAAAGGTGACGAAGAATTTGTCATTACCTGCGTTAATTAGAAAGACCGAGGCGGCAAAAACTTAGGTGTAAGAGAGGTGTGTTGGAGGTCGAGGTTAACGGTGGGTGTAAGAGAGGTGTGTTGGAGGTCGAGGTTAACGTGGGTGTAAGAGAGGTGTGTTGGAGGTCGAGGCTAACGTGGGTGTAAGAGAGGTGTGTTGGAGGTCGAGGCTAACGTGGGTGTAAGAGAGGTGTGTTGGAGGTCTGAGGTTGTGATTGTAGAGGTGTGTTGGAGGTCGAGGCTAACGTGGGTGTAAAGAGGTGTTATGATTGAGGTTAACGTGGGTGTAAGGGGTGTGTTGGAGGTCGAGGGTTAGCAGGTGTAGAGGTGTGTTGGAGGTCCGAGGTTAACGGGTGTAAGAGAGGTGTGTTGGAGGTCAGGGGCTGACGTGGGTGTAAGAGATTAATATTTGGGTCAGGGTTAACGTGGGTGAAAAGGTGTTGGAGGTCAGGAGGCCTAACGTGGGTGTAAGAGATGTGTTGGAGGTCGAGGCTGACGTGGGTGTAAGAGAGGTGTGTTGGAGTCCGAGGTTAACGTGGGTGTAAGAGGTGTGTTTGGAGGTCAGGGGTTAACGTGGGTGTAAGAGAGGTGTGTTGGAGGTCGAGGCTAACGTGGGTGTAAGAGAGAGGTGTGTTGGAGGTCGAGGCTAACGTGGGTGTAAAATTAGATCATCAGGTAAGAAACGGCGCACATAAATGTCATTAAAATATATACCGGAAGAGGGCAGACCTATGCTGGGTGGTGGCGAGGTGTGGCACTAAGGCTAGGGTGGCGAGGCACTTCACTAGGGTGGCGAGGCACTTTACTAGGGTGGCGAGGCCCTTAACTAGGGTGGCGAGGCACTCTACAATACCTGGAATAATGAGTCAGTAAAGCTAATTCTAAGAGAATTCACTCCATGAAATTTGACTCAGTATTTTCACTCTGGTAAATTCATTCCCCAAATAATTTATGGTAAAGAAAAAAATCACCATACAAAGTGGCTTTTATTTTAAGAGATTAATCAGCAATAAAAGTGACAGTTAGTAAAAAAAAAAGAAAAAAGTCAACATTCACGAGCCAGACAGGCGGTACACCACGACCCAGACAGCCAGACAGACAGACGGTACACCACGACCCACAGACAGACAGGCGGTACACCACGACCCAGACAGACAGACAGACGGTACACCACGACCCAGACAGACAGACAGACGGTACACCACGACCCAGACAGACAGACAGACGGTACACCACGACCCAGACAGACAGACACAGACACACGACCCAGACAGACAGACAGACGGTACACAGACAGACGGACTAGACAGACAGACAGACGGTACACCACGACTCAGACAGACAGACAGACGGTACACCACGACCCAGACAGACAGACAGACGGTACACACCACGACCCAGACAGACAGACAGACGGTACACCACGACCAGACAGACAGACAGACGGTACACCACGACTCAGACAGACAGACAGACGGTACACCACGGACCCAGACAGACAGACAGACGGTACACCACGACCCAGACAGACAGATCCGCACATTAAAGTTCACCCGCCACGCACTGTTCATAAGGACTGTGTTTATAATCGTTGAGCCACGTATAAATGTTTCCAGCGAGTGCAGTGTGTTTACCTGTAGAGTCATGGCCGTGTGAGAGAGAGAGAGAGAGAGAGAGAGAGAGGGGGATTTTGTTTAACACACTATTAACAGTTTATCTCATATCAACGGCTGATGGGAATACGGTTTTACAGAGGAACTATAATATTAATAAGTAATTCTGTAATGTCTTTCAGAATACCGTTTATAATCATTTCTTTATACCTCACTGTGGTGGTGGGTATTATTGCATATTATATTTAGACAAAATCCTACTCGTTACTAAAGCAGATGATTCTTAGGAATTTATAGATTTTGTATCATATAAATAGATGAGTAAGTAAGTAAGGGGCTGTAGTTATAGAAATTATTATACGAATACTTGAGTCGACCCTGTACCGAATATGTGCCCTGACACAACGAGACAGTTCGAACTATCTATTGTCAGGTCGAGACGGACAGGGATTAGGGAGGGGGGGGGGGGCAGTTCCAAAACAGCAGTAGGAACAAACCTTCGTTGTGGTGATTAAGTTTAATGATTTATAGTTTGTAATCAATAATTTCTCCGGTACAAAGTAATATATTGAGATTTTTACAACAGGTGAAACAAATTAATATCTTGTTTTCCCAGGAAGATTCGACACCCGACCTTGGCGGCGGGGTGACCTGACAGCCGCTATTAACGACCTATAATTATACAGTGATGATGAATGGTGGAGGCAGGTCATAAACACTGGCCAGGGTGATGGTTTATATTACTTAGTATCATCATTCTTCTCTGCCTCCATGCTGGCTATAACTCATCTACAGTAAAGACGTGGTAATGATAACTTAAGTTTTTATCCCAGTATTCTGCGTAGTGTCATTAACTAACGCCATCTTCCAGGATCTGACGACAACATGAAGAAGGGTCTAGTGTGGAAGTTAAGACGAGGCGCCACCACCCCCAGTGTCCTTGATTTACAATGGCGTCACTAGAGGGGAGGATCGTCACTCATATACAGGTGTGTGTCTTGTGAGTATCGTGGTACAGGTGTTGGGGAGGTCAGGTGTGAGTTATGGAGGTACAGCGTAGATGTTTACGCCAGTCTGGCCCAGAATACGCCTGATGAAGCAAATCTCTGTTATGCGTGACGGGAGTCGCGTAAATATACATCAATATGTGCATATACTTGTCTGTGTGTACGGACTTGGGGCGTGTGCAGGTGCACATATTTTCAGACAATGCATATTATGTTATACCCATGTATTTGTACATACACACACACACACAGTGCCAGTGCCAGATGTAGGGGTCATGTGGACTGCCCACACTGATGGGCGGTATCTATAACACTCACCTGACTCACACATATCAAGCTGAACTAAAACATAAAAATCACCGGCTTAAAAGTCTGTGTTGGTGTTGACACTCGACCAACTCATCTGGTGCCATAGAGACTGATTTATATTAAGAGTATTGTTGTGGACGCCGATAATTGTGGCAAACATCCCACCATTATGTGTACTGTGGGGCCCCTGAGGTGAGGTCAGAGTGTGCTAACACTTTTAGTGAAGGGATCATACTAATTTAAATATTTTATTTTTGCGAATACGTAATATTTACTTTATAATTACAATTAAAATATTCACTTATTAAGATTTATTAATATTAGAATTATTTCTTATGTGAATCTGAGAATTTGACGGCAGACATTGACTCGGTAAAGACGAAACTGTTCCCAGTTCCGTTCTGAATTGAAGCAGTCCAGTCACGACTCTCACGAGTCACATGTCACAAGTTTGGTTATGTAAACATCGTCTCCAACGCAATCCTCTGTTGATTTTCGATTGTCAAGCTTCTCAGTAATTCAAACTGGTAATGCTAACCACTAACCTACGGAAGACTTCAATGTGTACAGCTGAACATACAATAACATCGGTGAACGCCAAGGAACCGCTAAGAGGATTGAACACCAGAAACTGTCATCATGAGGGAGGCGGCCATTATAGGAGTAGCCTTCAACACCTCCTCCTCTACACAGATCGTTAAGTTTATCATTCGTTCTTCTGTCTTGTTAGGTACCTTAGTAGAATAGTGTGATAGGAGAGATAAAGAGGCAATTTTCACTTTAATTTTAACATACTTTATTTCTCTCGGTCCATAATCTTGTCTCATCAAAAATTTTCGGACAATAATTATTGTTTCTTTTCCACCGGTCGGAAAACTAACAGCGCCCTTTTTTAAGGCTGGCTTCTTCCTGTCCTGGGCTCCCCTAATCCATCCAGCTATGAGAGGCTACTTAGCTGTACGTCTGGGGAAGACGGCCCCGGTAGATTGCCAGGATTGCCTCACTATGTATTGAGGGGCTGAATCCGCAATGCC